GTCTTCTTGTAAAACGATTAGTATCCTTCCTTTTGAATTTTGTTCATTTTCTGAATACATGATTTAAACAACAAAATAGAATTTTTACTTTTTGAAGATTAATATTCCTTCATTAAAGGTTGTTTGCATTTAAAAACGAAGGTTATTTTAAGTAGCTGTTTTTCATTTATTTAAAATGACAGAAAAGGACTTCTATAGTCAGCCTACAAACATTTAATGACAACCAAAGATGGTGAGGAAAGTAATCGCCATTTTCATGAAGGATTTGACTTTTATAGATTGATAACGGGGAATATTTAACAGATATTTTGGTATCATTTTGATTTATGTAGAAGATAAAAGGCTGTAAGTAAGATGTATATGGTTGTGTGAGTCGTTGATTAATCCAACCAAATTGATACTTCAACACTGGTGTTCATTTGATTTATTTGTTTTTGCTGCACTTTATAAGGGATGTAGGCTCAGGCACCGAGCTCACTGTAATAACACTATATAGTATATATATTCAGTATAATAGCCACAGGCTCACTGTAATAACACTATATAGTATATGTACTCAGTATAATAGCCACAGGCTCACTGTAATAACACTATATATTATATATACTCAGTATAATAGCCACAGGTTCACTGTAATAACACTATATAGTATATATACTCAGTATAACAGCCACAGGCTCAATGTAATAACACTATACAGTATATATACTCAATATAACAGTCACCAAGCTCACTGTAATACCATTATATAGTATATAAACTCAGTATAATAGTCACAGAGCTCACTGTAATAACACTATATAGTATATATACTCAGTATAACAGCCACAGGCTCACTGTAATAACACTATATAGTATATATATATATACTCAGTTTTACAGTCACTGAGTTCGCTATAGTAATTATATATATACTCAGTATAACAGGCACTGAGTTCACTATAGTAACTATATACATGATACTCAGTATAACAGGTACTGAGTTCACTATAGGAACTTTATACATGATACTCAGTATAACAGGTACTGAGTTCACTATAGTAACTATATATATACTCAGTATAACAGCCACAGGCTCACTGTAATAACACTATATAGTATATATACTCAGTATAACAGCCACTGACTTCACTATAGTAACTATATATATACTCAATATAACAGGCACTGAGTTCACTATAGTAACTATGTATATACTCAGTATAACAGGTACTGAGATCACTATAGTAACTATATATATACTCAGTATAACAGGCCCTGAGTTCACTATAGTAACTATATACATGATACTCAGTATATTGTCCACCGAGTTCACTATAGTAACTATAAGTTTACTCAGTATAACAGCCACTGAGTTCCCTATAGTAACTATATACATGATACTCAGTATATCGGCCACTGTGTTCACTATAGTAACTATATGTATACTCAGTATAACAGCCACTGAGTTCAATATAGTAACTATATATATACTCAGTATAACAGCCACAGGCTCACTGTATTAACACTATATAGTATATATATATATACTCAGTTTTACAGTCACTGAGTTCGCTATAGTAATTATATATATCCTCAGTATAACAGGCACTGAGTTCAATATAGTAACTATATACATGATACTCAGTATAACAGGTACTGAGTTCACTATAGTAACTATATACATGATACTCCGTATATCGGCCACTGAGTTCACTATAGTAACTATATACATGATACTCAGTATATTGGCCACCGAGTTCACTATAGTAACTATATGTTTACTCAGTATAACAGCCACTGAGTTCACTATAGTAACTATATACATGATACTCAGTATATCGGCCACTGAGTTCACTATAGTAACTATATGTATACTCAGTATAACAGCCACTGAGTTCACTATAGTAACTATATATATACTCAGTATATATACTGTGTATGTTATTTTGTTTCACAGTAAACTTAAGTACCTGTGGTGGCATATAGTGGGGCAAGCTCTAGTTATGACAAATGTGATATTTCACAAGCAGACAAGAGATTTTTTTGTAATAACTCCGACAAGTAATCCATCAACACAAGGCTTTAACTTGTTTAAGATTTCATAAGGGATTAAAGAGAAAGGAAACAGCTTCTTTAGAAACGGATTATCAGAATCATCATTTTCATTGCGGATGTTTTTCTTCTCTTTTTTTATTTTTCACTTTAAATTTTATCTTGATCCATAAAGCTGAAAATTTATTACAAATGTAGAAATGTAATAAGAGTTTTGTGTAAGGGATGAGAATTTTCCCAGATTTGGTTTATGTTGATTATCATCAGGGGGTGTTTTATAAATGTGATAAAGATAATGTGCCAACTCTGCCTTAATGGTCGGTGTTACAGACTTGTCAACTTAACTGCTGAGGCAACGACCAAAATTATGTATGTCCATATATTGAAGTAGTCTATTGTATTTTACTCCACGGAGTCTTTCAGAAGTGTACACATCTTTCTCTGTGCACACAGCAGTCATCACTTAAGTGTTAAGTTTGGTCATTAGAGCTACAGAACCATAATTTTTACCTTGAAATATTCGTCCATACTTCCTCTTTCAGGTTTATATGCTTACAAACTATTACCTTTATACACATTTTTAGGTCACCTGAGCTTTAGCTCAAGTGACCTATTGCTATCCGTTTTCGTCCGTCGTCGTCTGTCGTCCGTCGTCCGTCGTCCGTTAACATTTTACATTTCAAACTTAAAGTCAAGTTCTGCTGGGCCGATTGAACTGAAAGTTGGTAGGAATGATCACCTCATGGTCCTGACAAAGTGTTGTTATTTTTCGGGTCGATCAGAAATCCAATATGGCC